ATTATCAACATGATAGCAGCTACCATCCCTGATTTGCTTATATATTTATCGCAATAACAACTCACATCTCAACTTATTTCCATTAGAAATGTTTCAGAATAAATAGGAATGTAGTTTATCTTAAAAATCAGGGGCAGTAATTTTAACTCAATTTCTCTTGTTTAATATTTATTGCATAAAATTAACATCCACAATCTAACTACGTTTTGAAATACTCAAGAATTAAATTAATTGTTGAGTAATAGTTCTAAACTTTAATTTAAAAAGTATTAAAATTTCAGAAATTTAAGGTAATAATAATAATAATAATAATAATAATAATAATAATAATAATAATGAAGAAGAAGAAGAAGAAAATTTGCCAGATAGCATATTTTGTTGTTTCTGTAGGCCACAGTATAAATATGAAGGAAAATGAAAGGCTGCGGAAAATTTAAGTTATCGCAAGACCGTAAAAAAATACAAAAAAAAAAGGGAAAAAAAAAGAAAAAGGAAATTGGCTACGTAGGTGACGGCTGTACCAACAGTTGTTGGAGTATTTGGAACGCATCAAAAGAATTGGGATCATCTAAATGACAGCATTACTGAAAACAGTTTGGCTACTGAGGAAAGTGCTGGAGTATTAAGGAAACTTGTTGTCACTTGATTTGCAGCTCCTGTGAAAAGATGACATGTGCAAATAATAACAATAACAGAGAACTAGACGAATAAGAAAAAACTTGATGTTAATAATACTTAATTTCTTTATGTTCTTTTATTTTCTTTGAATCAAGTAATTAACATGAAAATGAATTAATTAATTAAAGATACCCACAAATATAGACAAAACCGTTAACAGTAGTTATCGAGTACGTATCGCAAATTTTACTCGAGTTTAACTCTGGCCATTAGCAATCTTGGACGTGTTTTAAAATCGCCATTTAAAATTAACATACCAAACTAAATGTGAAATTCGTATAGGACGTCATAATTCTAAATATTCATCAACAATCCCACCCCATCCCCACCCCGCAACCCCAAATTTAATTTTGTTTGTATTTGGTCTCAGGTTTCTCGTCCGCTGATAAGTCACGGGAATTTTTTTTTTTTCTCAGCGGATAAAGATAAAAAATGTTGTAATAGTTCAAAAATTCACTTTTCAATCCTAAATTGCATCAGATTTATATCAGTTTAATATTATAGATTTTATAAATATGCAGACAATAGAAGTGTGTGTAATCCCGTTATCTAAAGCACAATATTTGAACTCCAGTCCTCTTCGAACTCTGACACAACTGACGGCGGCACTGTAGTCAGTTATGCTACTTACGACGAGAACGCATTGACAGATATTATAGAAGCAGTCGGCATCGGTCACAGTAGTCGGTCGCAGACGCAGAAGTTTTGATGCCTCTTTAACTTCTTTTGCTTGTTTTGGTGGCAAGTCGAAGTGAAATGAAATGTTACAATTATCTGCTACAGTCACATTCAGTATGTACTGCGATGTAGATTTCGACACACGCTTATATACAGAACACAACAGATATTCGGAAACAATCACACGCATACCCAGTCGTATATGCGTGCAGGCCCCAGTAGGTAGAATATTGACATATCCTCTTGAATAGACAGAAGAGTTGTATAATTTCTGGGCTGGGGGTTGGGGTCTGGGTGACACTTATAACGAAACATAAGAATATTTGTTGATAAGTAGACGATAAACTCGCAAATTGATAACATTTATTAAATTTATTAAGACAGAAAGAATTATCGATTGGGGAAATAATTCGACCGATAATCTGTCAGTAAAAATCAATGCACATTCAAGATTGACTTTGTATATATGTTTGTGTGTGTGTGTGTGTGTGCGCGCGGGGAGGGGGTTGTGTGCTTATATTCACACGTATGCACATATTTTTGGTGTGTACATGAAAGCAGCATGCATTCCGCATGAGCTTATATTATTTTACTAATACACGTAAATGCTAACAGATTTACAAGCGTATGGACACGATTGTGTATATATATATATATATATATATATATATATATATATATATATATATATATATATATAATAACCGGATATAAGAGAGTTCTCGGGACCGGAGAAGAAGTCTCTTATATCTGGGTTTCTCTTATATCCGGGTTTGGTCTAATTTATATACATTAACACAGACTCTAATTTGGGACCAGAGAAAATCTCTCTTATATCCGGGTTACACTGTATGTATATATATATATATATATATATACATATATACACCTTTCATATACATACATATATATACACCTTTCTGGATGTATATATGTATGTATGTATTTGTCTACCATTTTATATGCATATGTCGTGATGTAAAACCAGAAAACTAAGAAGGTTATGAAGGGGTTATATAATTATCGCTATGGATATAATTTTAATCAAATATTCACATTAAATTGTCATGGTTTCTATTATAATTAGTGTTATCATAATCATTATCTCTGCTATCTCTCATATACTATTTGTTTCCTTTATTTCACTCGTCATATCGGCGGAGTATTCGTGCTAAGAGGTTTTTTACATATTCTGGTCAGGTAATGCTCACTCACCACTAGGTTGAAATTGTTTTTGGCTTCTCGTTAAGGAAAGAAAAATATATGTAATAGTAAAGAACGTTACAGGTATATGTATAAGAAATATGTGTACATCTCTGTATGTGTACAAGTATACATGAACAAAAGAAAGCTTCTAAAAGGTGCGTATGCATGTAACTGTGTGTGTATATGTATGTGCAGTTATATATGTGTAGGCATGTATATATGTACATATGTGAGTATACAAAAACTTGAGTCGGTGTCTATGTATGTATACGTATATACAAGTATAGACATGAAACTAACAAATAAACAAGTAGACAGACATTCTTTGGGGTATGGTCAGGTCATCGGGTGTGATAAGATAATTTCATTTATGTTGCCCAGTTGTTATCTTCAGAGATCCCAAAGCATTTCGGCGAAACGCGTAGCTTTTACCCTTTGTCTGATTGTGTTCAATTTTGTTTCGGAGACTTTTATATATCCTGCAAATACACACACACACACACACACACACACACACACACACACACACACACACACACATATATATATATATATATATATATATATATATATATATATATATATATATATAGAGAGAGAGAGAGAGAGATTAAAATAAATCCAACAAATATTTTAATGTTTTCTATTTATGTTATTTGTATGGATACAATGCTCTGCTTTGAATGAAACAGTATTAATTACATTTACTGGTTTGAATGTCCGAGAAGTTTAATAGAACGCATATTTTCTACTAAATTTATTGAATATTCAGGCCAGTAAATGTAATTAATACTGTGTAATTAAATGCCGAGCATTTACTTAAAGAAGTTGATTCCATAAAAACAGAGTATAAACTGAATACGACAAACAATTACATAAAAACAGTTAAAATATTTCATCCTTGAAAATGATTAAATGTATAGCCGAAAGCGCTTGGATTAAAAGAACATTCAGACAGTTTTTACATAATTTATCATTTGAAAAGAAAAAAATATTAGATCGCATGAGAAATTGTATACATGAAAGGGGGTTTGCTCCCTTAATACACACACACACACACACACACACACACACACACACACACACATATATATATATATATATATATATATATATAAAAGAAGTTACACAAACACAAATATTTTTTAATCGGAATTACCACAAGTAAAGCAGTAATGCTACTAAAACACAAAGTTTTACAGGGTTTCGAAGAATTAGGAGTAGAAACCTTAATGATTAGCAGAGAGAAAGGGAGTAATCAAATGGATAGCGATTGACATAGCATTTATATTTTTGCAGATTAAAGTTGCCTGGAAAGCATGGAACCGGAAGGGAGTTTTACAAGCGAGAAATTCGAAAGAAGAAACTGTTAGCATAGAACTTACGGCTACATCTATCTATCTATCTATAGAGTTTTCCGATTTCTATTTGATGAAAATTATAGTTTTACGCTATGCTATGCTATATTTATAAGTAAGATATCATGGATAGAGCGTATGTAAATTTAGAGGCGACAGAAACTCTAACATTGCGTTCAGGCAATCTTAAACTGTTATGTCTACATTATATATATATAATATATATATATAATATCATATATATATATATATATAATATAATATATATATATATATATATATATATATATATATATATATATATATAAAGTATATATATATAGAGCGTGTGAATGAATATATATATATATATATATATATATATATATATATATATATATATAAATGCCGGATATATGTGATTTGATGTTCACCTCTAAATTACATTCATTAACATATGTTATATATATATATATATATATATATATATATGTGTGTGTGTGTGTGTGTGTGTGTATGTATAACACACACACATGCATGCACATACATATATATATGTATAGATATATTGTGTTAATGAAATAGATGTTTCTCTTAACTATATATTTTGGATTTATTTATGAAAAAAAATGATGTTGCACTTTTGGATACTGAAATCTGATAGGAGCTAAGACAGACACAAAAGTATACCACTTTCTTTGAATAATTTAAATTTCACTAGAAATCTTAAAATGTGTGTATTTGCTTGATTATATATATTTTTTATATCATATATATATATATACATATATGTATGTGTGTGTGTGCGTGTGTGTGTAAATAAAGCCTATGAGAGAGGGAGAAGGAGAGATGGAGAAGGACAGAGAAAGAAAGAGAGATGTAAGGATGCAAATATTGTGTAAAAGTGTGATATAGAGAAGAAATTCGACATTGAAGTGGATATTGGCTGACTACATATACAACGCACAATAGGAATAATATATTTTCGTAAAGGAAGACTAAAATATGAAAACAAAACTCACAAGTCTTATTTGCTACTGTGACAAGATAATGGAATCAGGAAGGAGGAAAGTCTGTCAAAAAAAGAGAAAGAAAAAGAAATCAGAATAAAAGGACAATAAAAGAAGAGAAAAATGATGGAAAACAATTTAAATAAGAAGAGTAGAAATAAACAGCATAAGAAAGAAAGACAAAATGAAAGAAAGAAAGAAAATTCTGATTGAAAATGGGTAGAAGAACTAAGATTATACAAAAGTAAGGGGGGTAGTTAAGACAGTGTGAGTAGGAGTGGTGCTGGGAGGAGTCAGTAGCAACGGTCTGAAATAAGGAGGAAGGAAAAGGCGGGGATGAAGAAATCGATCAATACGCACGCATGCGCAAACACATATAGACGCTTTGTGGAGACATCATGACAATATACACAGGCACATACTAAAATAATTTGCCCACACATATGTACAATGAAAACAAAAATAGCATTAACAGAGCCGACCATTTCAATACACTTTCAGGCTTTCTTTTTTTTTTTTTATTATACTAGCCGTCGGTACCCGACATTGCCTCGGCTGATAATAAAAAGCTGAAAAACCGATCCACAACACGGAACTACTATAGTTACTTTCAGCAAAGAACTTCGACAAAATTTCATCTTCTTTTACTATGTTTCGAGTCAACTTGCTTGAAATTATTCCTACGCCAATTCGTCCGAGCTAATCTATTATGTCATGCATAACATTTTATAATGGATCAGAAGAATTAATACAGAATTAACACAGAATTAACATGAATTAACTAGAATCAATTACAGAAAGAGGTGCCGTAACGGTTTTCGGAATGAACAATGTAATCGGTGAACCGAATTCGAATTTCTCCTGAGTCTTTTTATACTTGGCACGAATGCCCTTGGAAAAGACGTCCTTGTTCTCTGTCCTTAGTGTCTGATATATTTCGTCTCTATTATGCTACGATGCTTGACGGAAGAGAAAATGCAAAGATAACTGAGGAAAAACCTTATCCTTAACTAAAGATCCAACAGTAATAACTCAAATGTTGCATCCATGGCAAACCTTGTCAAATGTCAACATACATTTTTTTATGCGCCATGTCTTTCAGGACGTAGGCGATCATGGCTCTCTACTTTGCAGTTCTCAACAAGTCCCTTCCCACTGCTTCCTCCTCCAGACCACGTTCTGTCATCCTCCAGGTATGTCACGCGTTGTTTTGTCTCTCTTTCCCTTTAATCGACCCCTGGGTATCGAATTCTCCAGGCTCTCTTTCCTCATTATATGTCCCAGGAACTTCAGCTGCCTCTTCCTGATATTATGTATAAGTCTCCTTTGCAACCTCTCTAAGACCTCAGCGTTGCTCACACGCTCGGTTCATGACATCTTTAGCATCCTTCTGTAGAACCACATCTCTGTCGCCTCGAGTCTCTGCTTCATCTTTGAGGAAATCGTTCAACATTCGCTTCCGTAAAGAAGGACAGATATCACGTAACAGTTCAGTATTCTTTTCTTTGTTAACAAAGAAATGCTCCTGTCTCGCAGTATTCTGTCCAGCTTTTGGAATATGTCCTTAAAAAGCTTAAGCAATATAAAAGTGAAGTCAGTATAATCTTCCCTATACGGAACAGAAGTTTAATTTCTGTATTCAGTCATTAGGAGCGGACAGCGTAGCGATTATCAGCGCATTCTGCGAGCCAAAGTCAATTTCTAGCCTAGACACTGTTTACTTTTGCACAAATGCCCTTTGGAAGGGGTATGAATCAATCTGTTCTCCATACCAGCTATACACTAAATAGTAGGGTAAACAGAGCTCTCTAGTCTGGGTAACAACCAATCAAAGAAAAGAAGGAAAAACCTAGAGAAAATGACAGAAAATCGCTCCATGATCTTTACCAAGAAGTCATGGGAATTCACAGATAATAATAAAAAAAGAATCTGTGAATATTGCTATTTCTAAAAAAATTTCAGTTATTGAAATATCCCAATTTGTTTTAATTATATGAAGCCGTATTCTCCCACAGACTTATTTTCAGCTCATCTCATCAGTAAAAAGGACATCACATGTTATTGGCGATTGCATCTGCTAAGTTTATATACAATTTTGGTTCGAAATGTGCGAAAAGTTTAAACTTTTAAGGAGGATGGAAGGTTCGAGCGCCAAATCCTGTGAAGTTTGTCCCACGCATCCCATGCTAGAGCTTTGTGGATGTTAAAGTCTTTTTGCGAATCTATTTTGTGAGATCCAAGATTTTGATGTCCTCAACCGTATTATTGAGTGACGTTGTGATATATTCTGTCTTACTTACGTTGCAATAGATTAATTGACAAGCTACCTTAAGGCTGCACAGGGGGTCCTCGAGGTATTCAAAGAGAACGAATACTTTCTGGATAAATTTCCGAATTATATATTGTCATATACAGAATCGTTGTTTCATTTAGTAAATAAATATAATTGTTAGTATTTCAATACTAGTGAATTTTGGTATCTATATATATAGGGTTACTGAAAGGTTCTCGACTAAATAAAATTGTCAAAACCTTACCGAAAGATCAAACATCTAACTTTGGGAGAAAGAGCTAGCACAACCTTGTATGTATATATATATATATATATATATATATATATATATATATATATATATATATATATATATATATATATATATATATATATCATTAATTAAGTACATAAAAACAATGCTATTTTATTTAAATTTATAATCAGACAATGACTTTGAACACGTTATGCTTGCTGGTTTCAATCAAGCTGTTCTGAGTATTTCAAAAATTGTTGATATAGAACGATTTTCAGGCACAAGTATCTCTAATATTTCCAAGGATTGGTCAGGAAAAGAAAATAATTCCAGTAAGCGGTAATTCTATGGATGGAATCTCTTTTTGATGAAAGCGATCCGAGGAGAATGGCTGAATTGGTTTAAGCTGATAGAAATGTAACAGTAGCTCAAATAACCACTCTTTACAACTGAACTATACAGAAGAACATTTCTGAACTCACAATAGATTGAGCCTTGAAGCAGATGGGCTGCAGCAGCAAAAGACCACGTTGGGTGAAACTGTTATCAAAAAAGAGGCAACACTTCGCTGAGGACCACAAAAATTGGACGACAGAAGATTGGAAAAATGCCGCCTGGTTTGATGAGGCGAGCTTTCCTGCGAAATCCAGATGGCAGAACCAGAATTTTGCGTAAAAACATGAAAGTTTGGATATATCCCACCTTGTATCAACAGTTTAGACTGGTGGTGGTTGTGTAATACTAAGGAGAATATTTTCAGGGTAAACAATGTAACCGTCTGTATCAATAAAATAAAGCCAATTTCGCAGCCTACTTAGGTATTCTGGCAGTCGTGGAACACAACTCTAAGTTTTTCTATGTTAAAGTGGCTTCAACAATCAGATGATTTCAATCCCGTAAAGAAAATTTGGTATGTACTTGAAAGGGAGATTCTAATTCTGGATGTACAGTTAACCAATCTAGAATTGTAGGATGGCATAAAAGTAGCATGGACCTAGATTTCAAAGGATTATTTGCAGATCATAGCTGAATCCTAACGGTTCTAAAGATAAGAGGTTCAAACCTGTACCAGTAGTGTATACCTAATAAAGTATATATATATATATATATATATATATATATATATATATATATATATATATATGTGTGTGTGTGTGTGTGTGTGTGTGTGTGTGTGTGTTAGAGAGAGACACAGAGAGAGAGGGGGTAGAAGTATGGATATAATATTTTTTCCCGATATCTCCCTACTAACACTCTATATTTTGAATATATACCTCAATAGTATATTAAGTTTATAATAATGACTCACTTCTATTCTTATGAGAATCAAAATCACCGGCAACTGCAAGAGAAGCTGCGAAATGAGAGGGAGAGAATTTAAGTTTCAATTCCCAAAGTGGATTTACGTCAGCGTCGAAATGTGTCAGTGTTTCTCATTTACATTCCTCTATATGTCGTAATATGCCAACCATTTCCATAATTACTATATACATACTTTCATACATGCGTCTGTTCTTAGAAAGAGTAATGGTTCTTTTCCGCCAATGCTTATATAAATGCACATTCATCATGCACAAGTGCATTCTATGTTCGACTCTCGTAATTCAAATGCGACCCATGGTACATCACATTGGATGTTCAATCCTTTTCTGTTGCTTTCGCTTGTAATCAGGCAGTTACATGTATGTGTATTCTAGTAGATTTTCTTATAAACACAGTATACACTGTTTCCATGTGGAGATGGGGTTGTTTGTAAAGGAAAAAAATATTGGTATTCATACGTTTCTTTGTTCAATATTAATGCTTGGCAACAAAAAGGGAAAAGGTTTAATCTTTAAAGTCTCATCATCGAATCATTCACAAATACAGCGTATTGATAATCAGATACACTAATATATATATATATATATATATATATATATATATATATATATATATATATATATATATATAAGATTTTCCTAAATCTTTTTTTTATCATGTAAATAGCAGTGTTTAGTTTTAAATAACTTCATTCATAATGATTACTTTTGGTTCTACTGGAAAAGTTGTCACATTAGAAGGCATTTTGAAAAACGCTCATCAAAAATAAGTAATATTTCCGGCATATTATGCATTTTATTTTAAGAAAATTAAAAAATGCAAATCAAACAAAACTGGTATTGTGGATGATCGAACGTGTTGAAAGTTTTTACAAAGTTTGGGGCTTCAGATTTCTCACCAGGTAATGCTTAGCGGAAGAAAGGGTAGACTAGATGAGACTGATAGCACTAAATAAAGATAAGATTTTTATGTTAGTCGCTTTGATGTGTGGCTTCCACATAAACAAATTGTTCTGGTTTTTTTGACAAATTTTAACGAGATAATAAAAAGTGAATTCTTTTCAATAATGTGGAGTAAGATATTGTAGGACAAGAGAACTGCACTAAATACCAATCTTCATTCAAAGAAAATAATGTCGTATAAGATTTGAAGATAGTCAAATACGAAAGACGCTGAAAGTATTTAACAGAAAGGATGTAATAGTAGATTAATACAACACTGATTTTTGGAGTGTTTTGAGGTGAGTTCGTAAAAATTATTACAGCTTGAATATTTACTCATCCGCAGAGACACACGCGCGCACGCACATATATATATATATATATATATATATATATATATATATATATATATATATGTGTGTGTGTGTGTGTGTGTGTGTGTGTGTGTGTGTGTGTGTGTGAAGATGATGATACAAATGGAAAATTTATCAATGACGCATTTCGCCAAAAGCGTTTGCTGTTTTTTAGCTTCCTCTGTTTAAATTGAATCACGTCTAATGTCCCGATTCAACAGAGTGTCTGTTTTGTTTTATCTATATCACAGACGTTTGGTGTTCTTGGATCTTGAATCAATCCACCAAGACTACAGAGTACTTTTTAAGATATACATATCTATCTATCTATCTATCTATCTATCTATCTACACTATCACACACACACACGCGCGCACATATATATATATATATATATATATATATATATATATATATAAATGATAATATATAGTTTTATGGATTGCTGTATACATGGGTTAAAAAGTCTGAATATAAAGAATAGACGGATGTAAATATAAAAGTGAACATTGAAATCAACACCCAGAAGAGACAGTCTGTTACATGCTAAGCACAATCGTCAGGCATATGTATATATATATATATATATATATATATATATATATATATATATATATATATATTTTTTTAATGTTTTGTTTCTTTTAATTTTATTACTGAGTTCACCTCATCCCTACTTCATTTCATAGGTAATTTTTTTTCTAAATGCTGGGTATTTTATTAGGATCATTGCGGAAATGTCGTATTGAAGTACATGTTAGATTTGATGGATAAGGATGAGTTCTTGCTGTGATTGAGTAAATTGTTAGTGAATGTGTCGTGAGTCGGATTAGCTAAGTGTAGGATTGACAGTACTGAGCAGCCTTTCACCATTTTCCATTCGGCTTTGTGCCACAAATCAATGTAAGCATTAATTAAATAGATACATATACGTCTACATACAAGCCATTTTCCTCACATATAATTATGTCTTTTTTTTTTTCATTCTAATGAGGAAGTCAAAGAGGGCCGACGCTCTCCCCGGAACTCGTCGTTGATAAATATTCTACTTTGTCTCATCATCACTTTTGTTCCGGATAGGTATTATACATCCCACGAACACACACACACACACACACACACCCACACACATATATATATATATATATATATATATAAAATTTATGAATCTACCTGTATTTGTTTATATATTTGTATTCATTTATGATGATGTGCACAGAGCAAGTGATAAAGATGCTAGCTACATCACTAAAGGCTCATATGATTAACACCCGTAGAGTTAAAATAATATTTGCTTAAATCCTCAATCTCTTTCTTTCTTTGTATTTAATAACAACAATAATAGCGTTGGAGAAGGCACAGGTCATCTTTCTCCGGCTATGGATTTAAATAGTAGTGCAGACTGGGATCTATTGTCTTGATGTGGCAACCAATCTAGAAGGGCAAGTCTGAATTTAAACCAGCCTAAAGAGGGATGGGCTCCATCAGGCTATCTGACCCAAAATATACCATTGCTATTATTGCCCTTACGATCCTAACATGACCACCTGATGACCACCCTAAGCGCTCGATATGATACTTGTAAAATCTATGAATTCCACAAAGTATAATTATCTATGCATGCACTAAACTCATAAACTTCATAAATATCTATATTTACTAAACATAATTTAGTCTGGTACAAGGCTAGAGTAGAGACTTTTCTATTAAGGGTCGAACATGTCAGTAACGATTTAACCCACAAGTGTAGCTTGCTAATCAATCGTGTTGTGGTTGGTGTCTATCGTCCCAATGTGTACGTGGATTATTGAAATACTTTAGAGTGCCAATGACTGTTACCGTTATAAAAGCAAAAGGAACAACTCGATCTAACAGTCAATTAAATAACTGTGTGTATTTAACCACACTGTCGACAAAGAGATGACCAAAATATATATACATACACACAGAGCGAGAGTTAGCAAGCAAGCAAGCAAAAAGAAAAAAGAAAAAGAGAGAGATATCAGTAATAATAACAATTCTTATTCTCCATGCGCATACATATGTACTGATATAAGCTATTAGAGTAGGTGCATTCTCCGGCTGGTAACTCAAGGCCCGTAAGTGTCTATCTTTATACATATGTATTTATGCAAATATAGTTATTACATATCATGTAGATAAAGAGATGAGATTGAGCGGTCAGCAGATTTAACATACACAAGGTCTTAACACCGTGCGTATTGAAAGACAGTAAAACTTGCTAAATCTGTAAAAGAGAAAAAAGAGAAAAATAAAACTAGGAGAAAATTATGGGCAATCATTAAGAGTATGTAGGAAAAAACAGATATTTTCTATTTTATAGGGAAATGTACTGACAGAAGTAGAAATATTATTTTTTACAAATCTTTCCAATGCTGAAGAGTAAGCTGGAATGATAAAATTGAAATCTGATCTTGACTCAAATGATACAGACACGAAATACCTTCTAGGAGAACAATATAAATTAATATAAATAAACCAGAAAAATAAATACTAAGACACTGATACAATATATATATCATGAACTTTTTTTCATTAATGTATATACTCGTACGTGTGCGTATAAGGGAAGTAGTTAGACATATTGAAACAAGAATAGTTCAGTGAGTTGTTTAAATAAGTAAAAAGTTGCCTGTGCAGCTGTGTACCTATACAATCATTTAATTCACACCTATACATATAAAAATATAGATCAACCATAAACCTCTCATCAATAATCAACGATCATAACAGGTATGGTATGCATAAATACAATTTAGATATAAATATTCAAGTACACGACCTGTTAATTTATACGAATCTATCTACATCAACATTTATTCTTTCACTTAAATTTGTACAGAGACGTGAGGATAATAATGCTGATGATAGGACGATCAAAAACATCGATTCAAACAAAAGGAAATGATGAAAAAGAGAAACTTAGAACAAAAAACAAATGTATCAAATTAAAGGATAAATAACGTTTATATGAGTGACATAATTAGAGAAAAAAACAAGACAAAACACTTCAATATCCCTAAGAACTTACTACCGTTACTCGTTTGGTTTGAATTTCAATTTATTTCTGTCTGTCTAATTTTCCATTGTGCAGCTGATACGATCCTTCCTACTGAAAGTTTCGCAACTCGTTCCAATCACCATCAGATTCTTCTGGATGGCTAAACTTTGATTTGCATCTTCAGTCGTTGCAGCCATTGAATAGTTTTTTGTTTTTCCCAGTGCAGATTTAAATTTTCCAGTAGTGGGACTTTTTTTCGTCCATATTATTTTCTTTTTATCTAGAAAATCCACTGTGCCCTTTATGTGAGCGGGCCCGTGGGTGGGTGGTGGAGTGCAGCTCCACTGAAAGACGTCCCCGGACACGTGGATGCGGCCGTCGTCCAGAGGTCGTTCGGCATTTTCTACTATCTTGTTTGATTCTCTTTTTCTGTCGCCTTCACCTAGCTGGAACTGCTCGAGTACATTAGTGACAGGCAACTGTGTCTGGTCCTTGTCAATTCTGAGGTTGGAATTACTGCAAATTCCCTGTTCACCAAAGAAGTTCATGGGCACATAACTGACCAATTCATCATCGTTGTCGTCGGATTCCGAAGCCGGAGAATTGTGGGTGAGTCGAGCAGGTGTATTGGCTGTTAAGAGTTCTCGAGCTTGCAGCCGGTAACCTTGTTGGCAAGTACCGTCGCAAAAACGATATCGTCTGCCTAGAAACGACATTTCAATTTACTTTCTATACATTGGACATTGTTGGTGTATTTATTAATATACGCAAATACGACTCTGAGCATACTTTTTGCTTTCAGCTATGCATTTTCTTACTCTGTTTTTTTAATCACTCTCTTTTTTACCAACTTAAGCTCATAGTTATATCTAGATTTCGGTTTTTATTTCAAAATCATCAGTTTATTTTCTTCACGCAGCGTCCTTTTCCTCGGGAGAAAATCTAAAGAAGTTGTATGTTACAGACACGTGATCAATGATTCATCTAATGACCAAATTCACCGCGACAAATTGAATGACGTTCTTTATTGTTCTTTATGAGATCAAATAATTATTTAATCTCTATAAGAGTTGAGATAGCTATTGTTGTCTGCAATTAGTGTCTTTATAATCAATTTTAAATCAGACACTGAATTTGAAAATGTGAGTTTAAAAATTTCCGTTAACATATAAGATGTGTTAAGATTATGTATAATTCAGAATAGAATTTCAATTATAGCGACATCCGGAAGAAAAGTCTGTTTTCTCAAATCCGAAAGATAAAATCTGTTTATCGTAGTACCTTTAATTTTTAAAAAGACAAAAAAATTCGCCCGCTTAATGTATGTTCTCAAATCTCTTGCATATATATATATATATATATATATATATATATATATATATATATATACCGGGTGTAACAGCAAAATTGTCCAAATCCTGTAACACCAAAATTGTTCAATTGTTTGATTATGTTTGAGCCGTTGTATCTTAGAAATGATTAAAGAGATCTTACTGGAATTAGCCGAGGTTTTTATAACACTACTGGTCTCTACTTTGTGAAATAAGAATGTATAATTACTCTCTCAGCTTAACAGAAGAATTATGATGAAATCGATATCGATGATAAACGAAAAGGACATGTTCATCATTAAGAATCGGAAACACATGAAGGATTGATATAAAGTTCATATATATATATATATATATATATATATATATATATATATATATATATATATATATATATATTATTCAAGGTCATTTTCCAACATATTCAAGATGATCTTCGCCCTCTAACCTGTTCTGTAGTAAGATTTTATTTTCAATTCTATAGCTGAAATTCATCTCCCACGTGCCAAAAGTCTTATGGATATATTTGGATCTTTTCCAATTAATATATTTAGCTCTAAGTTGAACTGATCTTCCTGTTTTGACCTCCTCATCCATTTTTCCTCTCTACTGTTCCCTCTGTTTTAAACTTATTCACCGTTCTCTTAATGGTTCTTGAATGGACTGTGAAGATGGAATCCAGAATATGAATGTTGGCAACATTACTGAAGGCATGAATGCTCTTTTTCCTCTCGCCATTTCTCAGTTGGGAAGATATAATGGGGTTGACACAAAATGATTTTAACCTGTCCTCTTTCTAGTTGAATAACTCAAAGGGTTTTCAGTGATTCTTACGAGAGATGGTGTCAAAATGGCTAAACGTCTAATCTGAAAACATGGTAAAAAGAAACTCAATTAGTTTAGTGTTTTTTAGATATTAAACATTTTATGTGGTGGTTAATTATGCTGTTACACCCTGAGGACGATTTAGCTGTTACACCCGATATATATATATATATATATATATATAATTATTTATTTAAAAATATGATTCCAATTCGCGACATAAGAGGTCTCATGTTTCAAAACAAGAGCCGAAAACTTCAATATAATTATTTGAATTAAATTGAGTTAAAGTAAGCTCTGTTCCATCTTCAAGCGAAATTTTTTGGGGGAATAACGTATTTCTGAAATTTACGTGTTGTAATAATTGAAATCAAAATTTCCATGGTAACAGCTAGGGCAAATTGTTTAAATTGGGTAGGTGTGTGTTGGATGTTAATAATAAGTATCAGTATAGAGTTACTTTCTTAGATGTCAAGTCAGGGAAAGGTGGGGGTGTCTAAATTTGAAACGGAAGATGTATTAACCCTAGTCTGGTATGCTTGTCTATGGAGATTTATTTATTTTTTTATTTTATTTTTTTATGAAAGGGATTTGTGCATATAAAAAAAACTGCCGTAACGTTTGTTTTTGACGACTTCATAAAGGGTTATCTTTTTTGTAGGGTATTTAAACTGTTTATTTGGGCTATGGATTATGAAAGTTATTATATTGTATGCTTGTTTTTAGCTAATTATTCAAACCATGAATCTGATGATGTCGACAAAAAACCGTTAACTCATGTCTATTGTTTAATAGATTATTATTATTATTTAGAAGCTTAATAATGTGCAATTTCTCATGGAGGCACAAAGGGCATGGGTCATCCCAAGTTTTACATGTTCTAGCCCTGTTTATAATTTTCCATTTTACTTTAGGTGTCCTATTTGTTTCCTTCAGATGCCAAAAATATTTAGATAGGGAAGTCTGATTTCTTTTATTTATATTATTAAAAGAGCACTTATGCTGCCTCCATCTATTTTTAAAATCATTCTTCGTGGACCCAATATATATCATATTAGTGCTAGGACTCTCCGTGGATGATATAGTACATTGGAATACCATAGATTTAATGCAGCATTTATTTTTTAATGGGCAGTCTTCTAGGTTTCTACAATTACACAATTTTTCCCTTTTATTGTCTGATTTAAGTGCAGGGTTTTTATTAATACTGTTTAGGCATGGGGGGTTGTTCAAGATCTTATTATTGTGTTTTTTTATTATACGTTCAAGATTTTCAGAGCAGCTGTAACTCAATTTTAGGGTGTTCTTATTGAATATATTACTAAGCTTACTATTGGCGGGGAAGTGTTTATCAATTAGAGCTAAGAATTTCTGTCCTAGTTTAATACTAACCATTTGGTTGAACGGAGGGGTGTACCAAATGATTTTTCTTTTCCTGTTTTTTTTTTTTCTTATGGCCAGTGCAATCGTCTCTATAGTTAAGGTTAGCATTTTTATAACCACTATTTTTTAGGGCAGTGTTATAAAAGCCATTGTGTTGTTGGAATATTTCCTTGTTAGCGGAGAATGCTAATTCTATTTTCTATTCACGAGGGTATATGTTTAATTATGGATGGAGGGTGGTTTGACTTCGGGTGTATATATAAAGGGTTAGCATTTGGTTTTCTATATGGTTGGTATGTGTTGCCTGGTAAGTCTAGAGTTACGTCGAGGAAGTTTACCCTTTTCAAATTAGAAGAGACAATTATCTTTAAGTTTAGTTTTTTAAATTCACTAAATATAATTTTTCTGATTTTGTCTATCTTAAAACTAGAAGAACTCCTCAGCACCATGAGCCCGTTTTCTCTATACAGTCCGATGTCCTTAATATCAATTTCGCGGTGTGTCGTTAAGTTGTACAGTATTAGAAGACCAACAAAGTCAGAAGACCTCGCAGAGTCTAATGATCCCATAGTTATGTCAAACAGGTCGTTATTGTTTTTTATCCATTGGTCCCCATTATGAATGAGGACCGATTTCTTTGCGCTGAGGATTATATCTGTTTCTTCCTTTGTCAGGTTAGAATACACAGCAGCAAAGTCCAGGGCAGTCGTAAATAGATCCTTCGAAATTGATATCGAACTGTATTAGGGTGCAATTCGGTTTATCATCAATATAGTTAAACCAATTGATGACATCTTTAGTATTGATCCATAATTTTAATTCCAGTTGTTTTTTATTTGGCCGGTAATTTTTTCCAGGATTCTTTTGCTGATCTTTCCTATGTCGGGTCGGGTAGGGTTAATTATTCTAGTTGCAGGGTTTTCTAAAAAGTCAGGCTTATGGTCCTTAAGAGTTATGTAACATTCCTTTTAAGCAAGTTTACCTACTCTATCGCTAATTTTTAATTTATCAGTTATTTTTTACTAGCTCTGTTAATGCTATCAACCATATTAATGTTGTTGTTGCAAGCTTTTTTATAAGTCCTGGTTAAGTTTTTTTAATTAAGTTGTTGTAGTCATCAACAGCCAATTTGTAGAAGTTGCCGGTTTTGTCAGACTTAACTAATATTTTGTCACAATCATTAATGCTTTTAACTATTTGGTCTAGATGTTTTTGGAAGTGACTTTTCTTTTTTTGAAAGATGTTGTTGATAATGTTGAGTAGGTCTTTTTCAAATTCATGTTTGTTGAATGGTGCAACTTTTTTTTACTTTTAAAGCCGTAAACTTCGCGTTCTTTATCGGTTGAGTTATTCCCACGAAACTAGAAATATGCCTTCCATCTCATCCTTCTAATTAATTCCTCTGTTTTTTGTAAAAGTTTGTTTGTGGAATGTTTTTCAGAGAAATCCCGAAATTAACTTTTTCCATATTTTTAAAGGAGTATTTAAAAATAAAGGTTTAGAGTGCTCGACCTAAATTAGGGAGCCAATAATATGTGAAAATATATAGAAAATAGGAAGGAACTGGTTAGGTAAATAATCCAAAGTCCCTTAGTATTTTAGTTATTATTTTTAAAAAATCGAGCACTATTTTTTAAAAATAATAACTAAAATACTAAGGGACTTTGGATTATTTACCTAACCAGTTCCTTCCTATTTTCTATATATTTTTATATATATATATATATATATATATATATGAAATGGACTAAGTCGGACAATTATTTTAGCATATTCGTTGTTTATACGTTATTTTTATAGATACAAATATTTAAATAAATGCTATGTTTATAATAAATAGTATTAACAACATTTACCGACCTGAATGTCCGAGAAATTTCATAAGAAATATGTCCTTTCATGGGAAATTTGTAGTTTAAAAGCAGTAATTCGACCTTGCTGACCAGACTTTTCCTCCGTAGCTAAATGTATAGCATTTCAGGCTATACGACGGTTCCGGGTAGTATATGCGTTCGATTCCTGTCGGAGTGTATATATATATTCAGGCCGGTAAATGTTTATTATACACAGAGCGTCTACTTAAATATTTGTATCTATAAAAATGACATATCCATATATGGGATAACGATATATATATATATTATGTATCAAGAACAGTTTTAGAAGAAAGATGTATG